TCCAGTCTAAAAAAATCAATGGAAAAATATCCTCAGGTGAGGATTAAAAAATAAATTAAATAAATAAATGTGTATTTATAATAATTTACTTAGCTGATCTTTGCTATAAATTTCATTTCTCCTTATTCTCCTTGCCTAGAGTCTATCATGTCACTAAATCCTTAATTGCCCACATGTGAATGCTTTTTGTAATATTCGGGGCATAAACCACATTTTATTTATCACATCATATAGGGACTGATATCTAAGTTGCTTCCAATATCTTGCTGTCCAACTATCTATCTATATATATAAAAGCCTAAGTGACAGAATGACTGGACAACCAAATAACCAGTCAACCAGTCACTATGATGCACACTGACCACCAGGGGGCAGATACTCAATGCAGGAGCTTCCCCCAGTGGTCAGTGCACTCCCACAGCCAACCTCCTGCAGCCCCTCCCCCCAGCCAGCCCCAAAGGCCCCAATCAGAACTTCTGTGCCCCCTCTCCCCCCCCCCCCCCCCCCGCAGCCCTGATGAGCCCTGATCACTAGCCAGGCCAAGGGACCCCACCTGTGCACAAATTCATGCACCATGCTGCTAGTACATACATAAAATCCTTATATGTAACTCCTGGTAGATATCTTCAAATTCTCTAAAGGATCTGGCCAGGATGGAACTGCTTTGAAGTAAGATATGTACATATTTAATGCATTAGTTATTTCTATAAGACAAATTATTATACTTCAAATCAGCAGCTTAATACAGTAACACCCCCAGAATGAGAGAAAATATTTACAAATCATATATTTGATGAGGCTTGTAACCTAGAATATAAATGAGTATATGTCAAATAACCCAATTAAGAAATGGGCAAAGGATTTGAATAAACATTTCTCTAAAGAAAATACGATAGTGATGAGCATCATCAATCATTACGGAAATGTACATCAAAACCCCAATAAGGGCCCTAGGTGGTTTGGTTCAGAGGATCGAGTGTCAAACTGCAGACAAAAGGGTCCCAGGTTTAATTCTGGTCAAGGGCACATACCTTGGTTGCAGGCTCCTCCCCAGCCTGGGCCCTGGTAGGGGCAGATGCAAGAGGCAACCAATCGATGTGTTTCTCTCACATGGATGTTTCTGTCTTTCCCTCTCTCTTTCACTCTCTCTAAAAACCAATGGAAAAACACCCTTGAGTGAGAATTAACAAAAATACAAACAAACAATTTTAAAAAACACACACACACAATGAGGACCCACACTGGATAGCTTAGTTGGTTAGAGCATCATGCTGATACATCAAGGTTATGAGTTCAATCCCCAGTCAGGGTACATACAAGAAGCAACCAAAGAATGCATAAATAAGTGGAAGAACAAATTGATGATTCCCTCTCTCTCCCTTTCTCTCTTTATCTAAAATCAATCAATATATTTTTTAAAACTACCACAAGGAGCCCAGCTGGTGCGGCATAGTTGGTTAAATGTCGTTCCATGCCTCAAGAGGTTGTCAGTTCAATTTCAAGTCAGGGTACATGCCCATGTTGACAGCTCAATTCCCAGTGTCTGACATTGGCCTGCACCACAGACCCTCCAAAAGATAGGAGACAGCTGATCCATGTTTTTCTCTCATCAATGTTCTATCTCTCTCTAAAATCATTTTTAAAAACTTAAAAAAAAAAAAAAAAAGTGATTCCAAGATAGCAGTGAATTAAATGGAACTACAATGACATTTCCCCAGGACCAAACTGGAATTATAACTAAAATACGGAAAAAATCATCCTGAAGAACCAACACTAGCTGGAGAGAAACCTTATAACCAAGGACATAAAATAGAGACCACATAGAGACTGGTAGGAGTGCGAAGGCGTGAGAGGGCTTTCCAGGCACCCCTGGGAACTGGTGGAGTTCCAGAGGCTTATCTCAGCTGTGGGGTTTGCCCCTGAGAACTCTGGGTCTAAAGCCTAAGCTGAACTCACCAGCCCAGATTATCAGAACTGAGAAAGGTGCCTGTGTAACATCTGGCTTTGAAAAGCAGTAGGGTTTCTGTCTGCCAGGGAGAGATGGCTGGAAATGCAGGCACTTTCTTAGAGGGCAACATACAAAATTTCGTGTGCAGCCTGGGGCTCCAGCAGAGGGAGGGCAGAGCGGACTAGAGGTGTGAGGAGAATCCAGGGTTGGGGGATCTGGGGATAGAGCTTGGAGTGCAGACACCTGGATCCCTGTGCTGAGTCATTCTCCCATACTGCAGAGGACATCTTTCTCAGACAGACCTTTCTCGCCCAGGCAGCTTTATCCTGGGGAGAAGCAATTGTCCCATCCATTGGAAAACCTCTATGATGGGGTGGAGGGAGGAGGGATTGGGGCAGCTACAGGAGGCAGCAGGTTGAGAGCTATTGGAGGGTGGTAGCGAGCTACTGGTGCACAGATCTGTGCGCAGGGCTACTAATAAAATAATAAACACCTATGATCTCACAGTTTCTTTGGATTAAGAATTTGAACCTGGGTGATTCTGGCTCAGTATATCTCATAGAGGCTGCGGTCACACTGTTGATCAGGGCCTCACACATCTTTATTTTCTTTTAAATATGTTTTTATTGTTTTGTTTTTTGTGTATGTGTTTTGTGTTTTTTAGAGAGGGGAAGGGAGAGAGACAGAAACATTGCTATGAGAGAAACATCTACGGGTTGTCTCCTGCACACACCCTGACTAGAGATTGAACCACTACACGGGTATGTGTGCTGACCAGAAACCGAACTGTGACATTCTGATGCACTGGATGATGCTGAGCCACACATGCCAGGGCTCTTTTTCTTTCTTTTTTTAAGGCTTGAATGAAGCTAGGAGATCCAATCCCCAAGTTCACTTAAATAGGTAGTAACTTGGTGGGTGCCTATTGGTGAGAGGCTCAGTTCTTTTCCACATGAGCCTCTCGGAAGGGCTGCTTGAGTGTCCTCAAGGCAGAGGTTTCTATGTCGTCTTTTATAACTTAGACGCAAAAGTCACACATTTTCCATACATCCTATCATTACACACCTCTGTGGTGGGAGGGTACAACACAGGGCTCGGATACTTGAATCAGGGACCACTGGGGGCATCATGGAAGATGGCTATGAACACTTGATAAGGAAGTCAATGATAATAACAACCAACAATTCTGTGACATGTACTATGTGTCAGGCACTGTTCTCAGCTCACAATAAATCTGAGTTAATTACTATTATCTCCATTTCACAGATGAAGAAACTAAGACACAGCGAAATGTAACCTCATCAAGGTCACACACTTACAGATTCCAACTCAGGCAGTATAGTGCCAACATACATTCTTAAAAACTATTCAGTACTGCATCCAGATATTATTTAGTTCAATTAAATGTTGCCCATTTGTTCTCCAGAATGAAAGAACCAGTTGAAACTCCCATGAGTTTTCATTTCTCATAAGTTCAATCTCTTGTTGTTTTGGCCAAACTAATAGAAACTCATTCATGTTTTCATTTGCATTTCATTTAGTTACCTCTAGATGAGGTAATATACTTATTAGCCATTCTGGTTTTCCCTTTAAGATTTTACCTACTTAAATTCTTTGCACATTTTTTTCTTCCCAATTTGCAGTAGTTATTTCTATATTCAATCCCTATATAATGCAATCCCTTGTCAGTTTAGGCACTGCAAATATTTTCTTCTAAATGCAACCCATCTGTAGCCTTGCCTACAGGATGCTTTGTTAACTAAAAATCTTTAATTATGAAGTTAAAGCTATCAAATCTCGTGTTTTAAGGATCTTAACAAATCTATCCTCACCCCAAGGTCACAAAGACATTCTCTGTTTTTTCTAATTTGCTTTAGGACTTTACCTTTCATTTAGGTCTTTAATCATTGTGGTATTTGTGGTTGTTTTATATGGCTTGAAATGGTGATTCTGAGCACCATTATCCATCTTTCCCCCACTAATTTGTGAGACTATCTTTATCATGTCTCTCAATAGCCATGTCTATTCCTAAATCCAATTTAGCTTTCTTGTTTTCTAAGAGGAAAGCTCTATCACTGTGAAAGTTTTCACTGACACAGTAGTCCCCCCTTATCTACAGGGAATGCATTCCAACATCCCCAGTGGATACTGGAATCACAGGTAGTACTGAACCCTATATATACATGTTTTTTTCTGTGCACACATACCCTTTAATTTAAAGGAAGCGCTTTACAGCTTCTCTTTGGCATATCCAAACTGCCAGCACCATTACTCTTGCGCTTTGAAGCCATTAGTAAGTAAAATAAGGATTACTTGAACACAAGCACTGAGATACCACAACAGTCAATCTGATAACCCAGATGGCTACCCAGTGACTAATGGGTGAGTAACATATAGAGCATGGAGATGTTGGGTAAAGGGATGATTCTGATCCTGGGCAGGATGGAGTGGGACAGAGCAAGATTTCATCATGTTACTCAAAACAATGGGCAACTTCAAACTTACTATTTCTCGAATTGTCCATTTAATATTTTCAGACATGGCTGACCATGCCTAACTGAAACCACAGAAAGCGAAACCCAGTTAGGAGGCATTGTACAGCTACTATCCTGCTTTCTCTATACCAGGTAAATGAAAAATCCAACCGTTACCCTCCATGACCCCTGGGGGTTCAATATTTTTAGCTTGTATTCTTCCCAGAAACAGAATACCCAGTTCAGAAAGTGATTTTAAAAAAATAAATGTATGTTTATTAAAAAACCTAACCAAGAACAAACCCTGGGACACTAGAAATCAATGTTTCTTCTGAAAGCCAGCAACCACCACCAAAGCTGGCACACCTGAGAAATGACAGATGCCTCAGTCCAAACATTAGGTTTCAGATATTCTTCTTTTCAAATGGTGAAGTTCTTCTCAAGTGGTCAAAACTAGCATTCAGAGTTGCTGGTGTGTGTGGGCCCTGATTATTAGTATAGACAGCTTTTACGGATAGACATCTGGCTGGTCCGTGTCCATTCCAACAACTCCCAGGGACCCCACAGCCTCAGAAAAGTTACATATCTTCAACACTCCACTTGTAGGCAAGCTCCTCCACCGCCTTCTTGCTGGCAAGTCGGGCAAAGCGCTTCTGTTCAAATCCATTGGATCTGCAATCAAGAGATATCAATCAGCCAGAATCCTGAACTGGACACTTACTTTATAAAATAAAAAAAAAAAAAAAAGAGTTCACAATTAATGAATAAGGAAGGAAATAAGGCATGAGAAATATTTAAGGTACATGCAATAGAACCAAAAGAACAAAACATAAAATTCATGAGGGAATTGAAACTGAGGGAGACAGCGGGCTGCTGGAGTCCCAGGCACTTGCTCTAAAATAGCCCATGCATGGACTTAGACTCATTCCTTCTGAGCTCGAGCACTGGGGCAGCAGCTTAATAGGGACCAGGGACACATGGAGAGGAACTATATTGTCCAGCATTAGGGCAAGAGCTGGAAGGGCAGCATTCTGCCAGATAGAGGTGCTGGCAGAGGCCATTGGTCCTTTGATGAACCTGCCCCCCACAGAGCCAACAGGCAGGTGCCATATCTGAGATTCCATCAACCTGGCTCACACTGTTTGCACCTGGTGCAACTGTCAAGTCCATCCAACCTGTTTCCAGTGGCTGTTACATACAAATGGAAAAGGTTTTCCTAAAATCTTTAAAAGGAGCAGCATCTAGCCTCAGTGTACCCCATACCTATGGCCAAGTTGCCCCAGGCCTGGCACTAATAGCAGCCAGATTTGGTTCACAGCTTGGCATCACCTGGGCACTTTCAAGCCCAGCACAAATAGCCACCATCTTCAGACTGCTCTGTGGCTCATGTTGGGAGGCTTTGGCCAGAACACAGGCAGTAGCTGACCTTGGCCTACATCTTCTAGGAGGCCCCACAGCCTCAGACCACATCAAAACATCACTACCCAACTACTTCCACAATCAACACATACAAGTTTGACTGAGCAGACACAAGAGCCACACTGAAGTAAGTTCTGTTCTGTGGAGTGGGCCTATGGCACAGCTGATCCTCCACGATGGTTGGAGGTCAGTGGTCAGTGGTCAGCGGTTGCAGCCAGTCCTTACAGCTGATAGGCCTGTGGGAAAATCCCTTCCACTGGCGTCCCAATAGCAATCAAGGCTCAACTACAAGAGGAAACTGTACATAGTCCATACAGGGGGCCCACCTTGAGTGCCCAGCTTGGGTGAATGGGGAGGATGCGCCACTGGACCCTATAGAACAACTACTACACAAGGCCACCCTACCAAGCCTGGGAGACGTAGCAGCTCCATTTTATACATAGAAACAAACACAGGGAGGCTGCCAAAGTAAAGCAACAAAGAAAAATATCCCAAATGAAAGAACAGAACAAACCTCCAGGAAAACAAACAAACAAACAAAAAATATATCAACAATATGGAGCCAAGGAATCTATTAGATACAGAGTTCAAAACACTGGTTATAAGGATGCTCAATGAACTTAGTGAGAACCTCAACAGCATAAGAAAGGACCAGTTAGAAATGAAGGATACACTAACTGAAATAAAGAATAATTTACAGAGAATCAACAGTAGAACAGATGAAACCAAGAATCAAATCAGCAATTTGTAATATAAAGAAGCAAAAAACACCTAATCACAACAGCTAAAATAAAAGAATTTTTTTAAAATGAGGTTAGTGTAAGGAGCCTCTGGGACAACTTCAAGCATACCAACATTCACATCATGAGGGTTCCAGAAGGAGAAAAAAGAGAGCAAGAAACTTAAAATATATTTGAAAAAATAACGATATAAAACTTCCTAACTTGGTGAGTGAAACAGACATACAAGTCAGGAAGCACAGAGTCCCAAATAAGATAAACTCAAAGAGGCCTCCACCAAGACACATCATAATTAAAATGCAAAAGATTAACAACAAAGAGAGAATCTTTTTGTGCTTTTAAGAAATATATATTTCTATTGATTTGAGAGAGAAAAGAAGGAGAGAGAAATCAATTGGTTGTCTCTGGCACACCCCAAACGCACAACCTGGGTATGTGCCCTAATCGGGAATTGAACCAGCAACCCTCAGTACATACGATGACATTCAACCAACTGAGCCACACTGGCCAGGGCCAAAGACATAATCTTAAAAGCAGCAAGAGAAAAGCAGTTCCTTACCACAAGGAAACTCCCATAAGACTGTCAGCTGATTTCTCAACAGAAACTTTGCATGCCAGGCAGGACTGGCAAGAAATATTCAAAGTGATGAAAACCAAGGACCTACAACCAAGATTACTTTACCCAGCAAAGCTATCATTTATTTTATTTGCTTGTTTGTTTTGTTAATCATCACTCAAGGATATTTTTCCACTGATTTTTAGGGATAGTGGAAGGGAGAGACAGAGAAAGAGAAGCATCATTGGGAGAAAGACACATTGATTGACTGCCTCCTGCACACACCTCAACCAGGGCCAGGGAGCAAGCTTGCAACCAAGGTATGTATCCTTGACTGGAACCAAACCTAGGAACCTTCAGCCTCCAGGCTGACTCTTTACCCACTAAGCCGAACTGGCTAGAGCCAAAGCTATCATTCAGAATCAAAGGACAGATAAAAAACTAATATAATAATGTATGCCAACTGCAATTGAAAAAAAATTTTTTTAATGGGGGTGGGAGAATAAATTTAATAAAATAAAAAAAGAAAATTACCAAACATGCAAAGAAACAGAAAATTTGATCAAACTCAAGAAGAAGCTATTATTAGGAAAAAATCCTGATGTGACCTAAATTTGCAATTAGCAGATAGGACTTTACAGCACTATTTTAAACTAGAGGCCTGGTGCACAAAATTCGTTCATGGGGATGGAGAGAAGTCCCTCAGCCCAGCCTGCACCCTTTCCAATCTGGGACCTCTTGAGGGATGTCTGACTGCCCATTTAGGCCAGATCCCAGTGGGACATCCCTCTCACAATCCAGGACTGTTGGCTCCCAACCATTTGCCTGCCTGCCAGCCTGATCACTCATGAACCATTCCCCTGCCAGCCTGATCCATGCCTAACTGCTCCCCTACCAGTCTGGTCACCCCTAATTAACCTCCTTTGCAGGCCTGGTCCCCCACAACTGCCCTCCCCTGCAGGCCTGGTTGCTCCCAAATGCCCTCTCCTTCCGGTTCCCCCCGACACACTGTCCTCCCTTGCAGGCCTGGTCACCCCTAACTGCCCTCCCCTACAGGCCTGTATGCCCCTGTAGGCCTGGTCACCCCTAACTGCCCTCCCCTGCCAGCCTGGTTGCCACACAACTGCCCTCACCTGCCAGCCTGATTGCCCACAACTGCCCTCACCTGCCAGCCTGGTTGCCACCCAATTGCCCTCCCCTGCCAGCCTGGTTGCCACCCAACTGCCCTCCCCTGCCAGCCTGATTGCCCACAACTGCCCTCCCCTGCCGCCATCTTGTATCCACATGGGGGTGGCCATCTTTAACCATATGGGGCAGCCATCTTGTGTGTTGGTGTGATGGTCAATTTGCATATTACCTCTTTATATAGAGGATAGTCTCAAGAAAGACAAAAATGTCTCTTAGTGAGTACACAGACAGGAGATATCAGCAGAAAAATATAAACGTTCAAATGGACATTCTAGAGATACAATGAACCAGTTTAAATGAAAAATTCATTGTATGGGCCTAAAAGACTGAAGTTGGCAGATCAAAGAGTCAATGAACTTGAAAGCAGGTAAAAGAAACTGTCCCAACTTAAGAACAGAGAAAAATGATGGAAAAATAAACAAGACTTCAGAGATCTGTGGCAGAATATCAAGTGGTAGAATAATAGTGTAATTAGAGAAGAGTGGTTCAAGGAAAAAAAAGAATTGAAGAAAAAATAGCCAAATACTTCCCCATGGGAAAACTTTGGAAAACATCACTAAAAGTGACAAAGGGTCGTCTGAGCTGTTTGGGCAGAGCTTTTTAAGCTTTGAAAAGGAAAAAAAGGAGAAAGAGTGTTCTGAGCATGGGCAATGAGATCTGAGGACCTCGGAAACAGAAGCAAGCAAACTTCAAATTATTAACATAGTCATTAGGGCAGAGAATGAGGCAGAGTGTAGAGTGACTTACAGTTAGGGAAGATTAGGATCAGCTAGAAGGAAAAACAAAAATGTAGGAAATATTCAGGTTTACCTGTCCACTCCATCCCAACGATACCCGGGCCAGATATTGAATCTGTTGGGAGGAGGTGCTGGGCCACTGTAGCGAGGTCTCACTAATGAGAGAAGAGAGAGAAAACAGGTCCATTATTTATACTAGTCAATCCAGAGCTAGAAGGCAGCAGGGCTGGGGCTTGGGGGGAGGGAGGTGTTATACAGAAATCTCTATTATGTGGAACCTAAACTCCCAAATACAAGGAATCTAGATTGTATGGGGAAGCCTTCTTTGCATATAGCTATTTATCACCACCCTAATGACAATTTCTCTCTCTCTCTCTCTCTCTCTCTCTCTCTCTCTCTCTCTCTCTCTCTCTCTCTCTCTCTCTCGTAAGTTACCTGCACCACTGATGATTCCCAGAAGGCTCACCTTTCTTATTCTTGTTCTCCTTGGCCTTATTCTTCTTGATAAAGTTGGCCATAGGGTCCCCCTCCCTTTCTTGTTCTCTCAGCATACGATCCAGATCTTCATCATCAATATAGCGGGCCAGAGGCTTCTGCATTTCCTTTATTGCATCCTCCACATTTTGTTGCTGCTGCTGGCTCTGGACAAGCCTGGGCAAAAAGAACCATGATTGTTTGCAATACTGTTTAACATTTCTACTCTTACACCGACATGGACACACTGCTACATCTAGAGAACCTCCTGTTTCTAGAAGCCTAGGCCAAATATTGAAAAGGGTAAAATTCCTAGAATACCAACTGCAAGTGCAGAATATATCACTGAAAGGATATATTCTGAACACAATGAATTTCCCATTCTTGAAAACAGCTTTTATTTAAAAAAAAAAAAAGTTTAAAATAGATTTTGAGAGAGAGTGAGAAACATTAACATGAGAGTGAAACATCGATCCACTGATCGGCTGCCTCCTGCACACCCCCAATTGGGGATCAAGCCTGCAACCCAGGCATGCATCCTGACCGGGAATCAAACCTTTTGGTGCACGGGATGATATCCAGCCAACTGAGCCACCCCAGTCAGGGCCTGGAAATAGCTTGAAGGCAAAACAAACTAGCTGGTCAGCGGGAACTCTGAGAACTAACTCCCTCCAGTCACTGTAGTCTAGTTTACCTTTCATGGTTCCTTACCCTTTTCCCCACTTGGCATACAGCTCATCTCTCTCTGAGTTCTTCTCTGCTTTTCGTCTTTGCTCTAAACGTTCCAGTTTCAAATTCCTCTTACGACCAGACTTATCTCGAAATACGGTTTCAGCATACTGGAATTCGGCTGCAAAGGAAAATTATTCTTTTAAAGATAAACACCCGGTATCAAAATCAGAACTAATATTTTAATAGCTGACATCAAACACCTGGGATTGCAACGCTAAATAAGAACTCCTGCAGCCAGACAAGAAGTACCTACTGGTGATGATCCTGAAAACTACTATTTTTTTCAAGTAGAAAAAGTACCATTTGGACCCACTGAGAAGTTAAAATAATGCCTAAAAGCAGAAATGAAACTTGATAGCAATTAAAAGTTTAAAACATCAGGTACAATAAGCTACATTTAAAAAAGAAAAGCTATCTAAGCCTCAATTGGTCGTTGCACTTTTGTAATTTTACCTTCCAATGCCATGGCTCCTTGGTCCCGTTCCTGGAGCTCCTGCTGCTCTCGCTGTATGTCAGTTAACACCAACCCAGTCTTAGCCCCAGAATACATGTGTGCAGCCTATGCAATGGAAAGGGAGCGTCCAACATTAATGAGATGATGCAGCTGCAGGCTCTATGAGTATACACAGTTATGTGCATTTTGTCTGACGATCAGCAATAACCAAATCAAAAACGCTAATTTTATATCTTATTCTCAGGATTCACAAGATAGGAAAGAAGAAATAGAGTTTCATGAAAAACTAATAGTACTATCAAATTTAAGAGTAAACAAAAATACAAACCAAGAAGATATTAAAGGGAAGGCTAAGCATCTGTATTGATTTTTCGCATATATAAACTTAACACATGAGGACTCACTCTCAGGCCAGCTGACCAGAAACCTGTGTTAAGCTCTAAGCCCTCCACCAGAGACTCACACTAATAAAATATTCCACTTAAAATGCAAATTCAAACCTAAGATCCGTAAATCATAGATATATTTCAGGATAAAGAAAAAATCTGACCAAATAAAAACTTTTTACTAAACTCCACCTTTTATCAAGGTAACAAATCCACCCACAAATGGAACATACAGTATATATATCCTAATATCCTTAAGCCATGTGCTAAATCTGATCAATATTAACCCTTTGCACTCCGAACCATTCTGGACATTGGCTACCAGCTACTCGATGCTACTTTGCGAAACGTGTGTTGAATTAACTCAATTCCCCGTAATCACTAATAAACTGCAATGTCCCCTGAGAGGGGACATCCGAGTGATATGCTAGAATTCCGATGTCCCCTGAGAGGGGACAGCGGAGTGCAAAGGGTTAAATTACCTATGGACTAAACAGATACATAAAATATCAAAGAGTCCAGCTGAAACACAGCCCTCACTTTGTGACCCAAAACAAAAGAACCTCACTTCCTGGGTTAGGGACAGGCCAGTCGATCCTGCCAGGACCACGTGGGCTGCAGAGAAGACCCACCTAAGAAATCTATGCACACACCACTGGCTCTAACACTGTTTTCTAACCAACTCACTGGAATAAGACTCCTTTCCTCATACTTGTGTTCTTTACAACACAGTTACTCAAGGTTCATGGATTTTTCCCCCCTCAGGCAGGCTTCATCACAGATTTCAAATAAAACAAAACACTGGCTTTCCAGGTGATATGAAGTAGTTTTATATTTTAAGTGCCTCTCTTTAAGCTCTGAATACAGGGACCTGCACTCCAATTTATTGTAATTATTTACTTTGTTCCAGGTACTGTACTAAACGTTTTACTTACACTAACTCATTTAATTTCCACAATAAACTTATGAAGTATATACTATTATCCATATTTTACCAATGAAGAAGCTGAGGCTTAGAGATATGTATCTTACTCAAATTTCACAGATAGAAAGTGGGAAAGGTAGGATTTGAATACATAACATTTGACGCAAAGTTTGTGCTAACTCCACTCTGTAAACTATAGTTCTGTTTATTACTAAGAAAAGAGGAAGTTTTTCTAAACCTATTAAAATGAGATTTATGGAATTAAGATGACATAAAGGCAGACACTACTTAGGAACTCTGTATCTGCAAGTTCACCTGGGCTGTATTATAGGCAGTCCTGCCTTCAGAGAGAAGGAAAGAGCCAGAGCTCTCCTCTGAACTAGATTTACTGCACTACCAAGAGCTGCCTCCCCCTCCACTGGCTCAGATCTCTGGGCCTTGGCTAGAGCTAGAAGACAGAAATCACTCTAAGACAGCGGTCACTAACCTTTTGGACCTCGCGGTCCACCGACCATCAATTGGCAACCGCTGCTCTAAGAGAAGATATGGCTCCTGAAAATTCCTACCTTCTTTCCCAGAGGCTGAGCCCTTCGAGGTGGAGACAGGTCAGAATCAGAGGATTTGGCCCTCCGTTTCCTCCTTGGTGGAGAGAGGTCAGAATCAGAGCTGTGATGCCTAGGTCTATTCCGTGGAGGTGACAGATCGGAATCGGAACCCTGGGGCTTTGAACTTGGTTTTTTCCTCGGAGGAGAAAGGTCTGAATCAGAGGCTTTCCGACTGTCTCCTGGGTAGGAAGAAGAGCCCAACGTATGACTCTGATGTTTTCTAGGTGACGAACTCGTATGAAGTTTCCTATGGCTGGGTGAAGAGCCTAGAAATTAAAGAATAAAGTCTTTAATCCCCATGTAGGAATTTTAAAAAGAACTTAGTCACTTACTGTTGGACATTCATTTAGTCCTCATGCATCACTAACCTAAACACAAGATCAGATGACATGGGAGAAGAGCAAAGTCAGGGACAGTTTTCAAAACCAATAGGCAGAATGTGGAGTTCTGTTCCCAAGTCACCAGCGACTGTGATTGTGTGTGAGATCTCAAATATTCCTCTATGTCACATTTAACCACATTCAGAATGGGCAAAATAACATGCACGCAGATCTTAATGGTGTGTTAAGTTAAAACTAACTACGATACATTCTGAAGTCCTCAGACTAAAGGATAACAATGTATTTTAATTTAAAAATTAAGACAGTAGCCGAAACCGGTTTGGCTTAGTGGTAGAGCGTCGGTCTGCGGACTGAAAGGTCCCAGGTTCGATTCCCGTCAAGGGCATGTACATTGGTTGCGGGCACATCCCCGGCAGGGGGTGTGCAAGAGGCAGCTAGTCGATGTTTCTCTCTCGTCGACGTTTCTAGCTCTCTATCTCTCTCCCTTCCTCTCTGTAAAAAATCAATAAAATATATTATAAATAAAAAATTAAGACAGTAACTGGGGACAAAACGGGATAAAAAATTTCACCACACAGGCCTGAATTATAAACATAAGCATCACAAAAGCAATTGGCAATATGTATCAATGGTTTTTAAAACATACAACCTGGAAAATCAATTTCTACTTAGCTTCTAGGAAACAAATCTAGAAGTACTTAATTTCCAGGAAACCTATCTAGAAGCAGAGAAGGAAATCATCCAGAATGAGAACAATTTACGTACACACATGTTCATTATAGAACTAGAGGCCCAGTGCACGAATTCATGCACCAGTGGGGTCTTAGGCCTGGCCTGTGGGTTTGGGACAAAACTAGCTCTGACATCCCCCAAGGAGTCCCGGGTGCACAATCAGGGCCAGGGAGGGATGCAGGAGGTTGGCCAGCAGGGGAGGGACCACAGAAAGCTCCAAGATATGTCTGACCCATCTTGCTCAGGCCTGATCAGCAGGACTCCAGCAGCAAGCTAACCTACTGGTTAAAACATCTGCCCCTGGTGGTCAGTGCAGATCATAGCAAACGGTTGAGCGGCCTTAGCATTATCATTAGCATATTATGCTTTGATTGGTTGAATGGCCAACTGGACATTTAGCATAATAGGCTTTTATCATATCGGATTAAGAGAGCAAGATTTAGAAACAACCTAAAATATGCAATTTTAGGGAAATGGTTAACTAAATTTATGTAATACAACACCAATAAAAATTATATTAACAAAGAAATGTTTTTATGACATGGGGAAGTTAATGATAAGTGAAAAAAACAGGCAAGATAATGCATGCAACATGTAAATAGTACACAGAGAGGGCTAAACTATATATAAAAAATGAACAGAAAGCCCTGGCCAGGTAGTCCATTGAGCATTGTGCCATGCACCAAAAGGTTACCTGATGTTCTTTCTCTCTCCCTACCTCTCTCTCTCAAAATCAATAAAAAAATCTTTTTAAAAAATGAATAGAGAAAAGACTAAAATGAACACTGGCTACATTAGTGATTGCTTCTAAATAACAGAAGTTTGCATGGTTTTTTTCTGCTCCTTTATATATTTCTAGACATGCTAACGTTTCTACAACATAGCATTTTTATGTCCTGTGAGGACAACAAAGGGATATATAAAAACTTCTTCCCTTCTACTATAAATATTTAACTCTTCAGCCCAACCTCTCACCATTTCCCTATAGTTTTTAAAATTTCTCCAAAGAAACTTTATTCTCATTTCTAAAGACATAAATCCCTAACAAGTAAAAGATTAAAAATAAAGTGCCTAGGGAACAAGTCCCCTCGTGGACAATCAATGCTCACCTTTAGACTCATGCTGTTTATTTCCATAATGAAATTTTGCTTGCCTTTTCCGTGGTGGAGAGAGGTCCGAGTCACATTCGTACTTGCTGTTCTTCGGGGCTGAGGGATGAAAGGGTCCTGGCCCCTTCCGATGAGGAGAAGTTTTGCTAGAGGCTCGTTCTGGGGCTTTACTGCTTTTGGTTCTGTGCAGTGAAGGAGGAACATCAGGAGGCGAATCAGGGGAGTCATGACGGGCCCTCCTGAGCTTTGATGTGTCCAAGGAGTGAAGAGTCCTTCTAGGTTGAGATGTGTCAGGGGAGCTGTTACGGGCCTTTCTCTGAGGAGAAATATCTGAGGAACTGTGATGGGCCCTCCGCGGAGGAGATGGATCTGGTGTGTCATGACGGGCCCTTCTAGGAGATACACCTGAAGGACGATAATGCTTCCTGAGCAGAGAGGGATCTGGTGGATCATGACGGACCCTCCTAGGCGGAGAAGGATCTGGTGAATCATGACGAACCCTCCTAGGTGGAGAAGGATCCGGGGAGTCATGGCGGACCCTCCTAGGCGGAGAAGGATCCGGAGAGTCATGGCGGGTCCTCCTAGGCGGAGAAGGATCCGGGGAGTCATGGCGGACCCTCCTAGGCGGAGAAGGATCTGGGGAGTCATGGCGGACCCTCCTAGGCGGAGAAGGATCTGGGGAATCATGGCGGACCCTCCTAGGTGGAGAAGGATCTGGGGAGTCATGGCGGACCCTCCTAGGCGGAGAAGGATCCGGGGAGTCATGGCGGACCCTCCTAGGTGGAGAAGGATCCGGGGAGTCATGGCGGACCCTCCTAGGTGGAGAAGGATCCGGGGAGTCATGGCGGACATGCTTGTGTGAAGGTAGATCTTCATTGTGGCCTAAACACAAGGAACAAAGAGTCAGATTCCCACAAATTCTATGTTTACCACCAGGACCCAAAGTTCAAAAGATGCCCCAGCAGCATACACCTCAGAAATACTCAGAAAGCCCAAAACTACTCTGCACAGCTCCTTTGCTTAGGGGCAGCAAACCAACACTCATGAACATCTTAAAAATAATCTCTTTTATTTACCTAACAAGACATAAATTTGCAAAGCATTTTAAATACATTTTTCACCTTATACGTTGAAAGGCAAGTGGAGCAGGCATCTTGTTTACAGTCGTAAAAATAGAAGCTCTAAGGTGCTGAATGGCTTCTCACCTCAGATTACAACTCCAAAATGAAGAAATATACTGGAACCTCAGTCTTCTATCTCCCAACCATATGCTTTTCTCAAAACCTTATTTGTGTAGAGTTCCCAGACAGAGACTCCTACTGAAACTTAGCCTAGAAAGGTTAGCCTAGAAGAATGAGTTTCTACTTACTCTCTTCTTTCAAAAGGCATGTTCACTAAACCTGTGCCACATAAAAATGAGGACTGTCGACTAATCCATGCCACTGTACTCCTTATTGGGGAGAGAGATCACCAGGAAAAAAGAATTAGCATTACTGATCACCTACTATATGCTGAGATAGGTTGGCTCATTTAATTCTCATACTCTAGGAGATAAATATTACCCCCATCCTACCTAATAAAATAGTAATATGCAAACTGATTATAACTCTGCTACACACACCAGCCACGCCTACCAGTCAATCAGAGCAAGTATGCAAATAATCCCAACCAAGATGGCTGTAGCCACAGAGAGCAGGAGGGAGGCTTGGGTTTCCCTGGCAATAGAGAAAGCCAAGGTTTCCACCTGCCCTTACTGGCCTAAGCCTTTGCTCAAGGCTACAAAGTTTCAATGATAGAAGGTAAACAAATCCAAACAGAAATGGTGACAGCCACATAACTGGAAAGAGTAGCTGGAAATAGCAGGAGGCTAGGGTTTCCCAGGGCAATGGAGGAAGCAAAGATTTCTGCACACCCTGGCCAGCCCAGGCCTCCACTCCAGGCTACAAAGTTTCAATTATATAAGATATATAAACCCAACAGAAATGGCTGCAGCCACAGAGCAAGCAAGAACCTTGGCTCTGCTCCGCTACAAAGTTTCAATTATAGAAGGTAAATAAATTCCAGATATCAGGACCTCCGCTTGGGTCATCAGGGGGTGTGGCTGGGCCTGCAAACCACCACAGGCCCCTCGCCCTGACCACTCCACATCCCAAGGGAACCCCCACCACTGATCTGGGACACCCTTCAGGGCAAACCAGCTGGCCCCCACACATGCACCAGGCCTCTATTCTATCTAATAAAAGAGTAATATGCAGATTGACCATCACTCCAACACACAAGATGGCTGCCCCCATATGGTCAATGATCCTGCTCCTATGTGGACACAAGATGGCCACCACAAGATGGCCAGCAGAGGAGAGCAGTTGGGAGGCACCAGGCCTGCAAGGGAGGGCAGTTGGAAGCGATCAACCCTTCAGGGGACAGCCATTAGGAGTGACCAGGCCAGCAGAGGAGGGAAGTTGGAGGCAAACAGGCTGGCAGGGGAGCAGTTAGACATCAATCAGGCTGGCATGAGAGTGGTTAGGGGGCAATCAGGCTGGCAGGCAGAAGCAGTTAGGGGCAATCAGGAAGGCAGGCGAGCAGTTGGGAGCCAGCAGTCCTGGATTGTGAGAAGGATGTCCCAGATAGGAGAGGGTGCAGGCTGGGCTGAGGAACACCCCCCACTTGCCCCATGCACGAATTTATAGATAAGAAAGTTGATACTCAAAAAAGTTAAATAATTTGCCAAAGTCATACTGCTAATAAGTGGTGGAGTGAATATCCAAATCCAGCTTTGTCTGACTCCAGAGTCTGTGTGCAATTTTTAAAATATGCAGATGAACATTCTAACAACAGAGGCTAAATTGGCATAAGCAGGAAATGAGGTCATGGGTCATACTATATTTTCAGGGTCAGTGACAAATTAAAGCAATGCACTCCCCTAAAAAAAGAAAAAAGAAAGCCTTTCCCTACAAATGGGAAATTTAGACTTAATTATTGTTGGAACTCACCTCCCAGAAGCTTCCATTTGGCACTGGAACGGAAGGTTTCCATCTGCTTTACCTCTTCTGGCCGCTCATCCACAAACTCAGCCACCTGTGGCAATGAGGACACTACATTGAGGAATCAACAGGATCCAGCCATGGAGCTCTGTTGTATAAGAACCTGAAGTTATAACTATTCCCATTCCTAATACACATCACACACACACAGATCCAAAACAGCCATGAAGATCGACGCAGTGGTCCTGCTATGTGTGCTCCATAAATATCTGATTGCCATTGGGAGTTTAATTCTAGATCTTTCTATGACTAATCAATTTCCCTCCAAAAGTTAATTTCCTTCATTACAAACCTTTTTACCAACTTGGCATGGACACGACTGCCCCCTGTAAGAAAAAAGCTAAATTCCTTTGCCATTTTAGAGTATGACTGCTAGGATACAATACTATGTTCTATTAATCCACATACCTCCAGTACTTACACAAGAGCATACAAATTTTAAAGTTTAGTTGAATCATGAATAAAAGAAACAAAGAGAAAGCTCCCTACTATTGAACCTGAGCACTGCTTTTAAAGTACATTGAACCTGTCTAATTCTATCACAGCTCTATCACTGATGTTGAGGAGTCCTGCCTCTCTCTGGGATTAGTTCCCATTTTCAGTTTGATGGGCCCTTCCATAAAAGAGAAGATAGTACTTCTTTGGAAGTATTCTCTGTCCAACCTCCCCACTTACAAACCTGCCCCACATTGGGAGCTGAGGTTGAAAGGCTTGAATTTCAAAGTCTTTACAGCCTCAAAAAGATACATACCACAGGCAAATCGCCATCATCTTCCTCTTCCTCCTTTTCTGGGTTAGTGGTGGAGATAGATGTCCAGCTCACATCATCATCCACAATCCGCATTCTAAACGGGGGGAGCGGGGAAAACAAGGAGAAACATTCTTGGGTAACAGCCTATGAAATTTACCCATTGGTTTTAGGATAAAGCTCAAAACCCTTCAAGGTTTTCACATACTCAGTTCCTTCTCTCTGTCTAACCCACTGTTATTATTCTTTACTGGGAAACTCTTACTCATTCTTAAGAACTTAATATATAACTTCCATTAGAATACCTTCCTAACTGCTCTCCCAACTAAGAACCCGTTAAACATTCCTGAAATACTTTTATTGCATTTATCACAAAGAAAATAAATCAATTAGTTGCAAAATTATTTTTTTTAAGTCTGTATCCCATTAGACTATAAGCTCCATCAGAATAGGGACTAAGACTTTCTCATTCAGACTGGTATCCTCAACACCCTGCAGCAACTGGCATAAGAAGTATTCAATATATATTTGTTACACAGATAAGCTATGACTGATTGCAAATAACAATGACTGCCATGGTGTGGACAGTTATTATCTGAACAGCCAAGATCACTTTATACATCTCTAAGCACAACCACCACCATTTAATATAAGTGGTATCATTTAGTATTACTCTCATTTCAAAGCTAAGGAAACTAAGGCTTAGAGGGATTAAATATCCCCAAAGCCACACAGCCTTTGAAGTGGCACAGCTGGGACTCAAACTCTGATCCATGTTGCTCCAAAGTTCAAGCTATTTTCACTACAAGGTACTGTTTCCAAAGAATCCACAGAAGTCAGAGAGCAGGAAGAAAGAAGACAAGAATGAGGTGAAAGCCAAACCAGGAAGAAAAGGGATCCGTCCTATGGACTTATTAGACTTTATAAGATATACTACTTTCCTCGGGCGCGAACTGGGTGGCCCAAAACAGTTCTGGAGGCTGAGTCTGAAATGCCAAGGTATTTGCAAGGCAAAGCCCACTGGGCTCTGGGGGAGCCTCTTTCCCTGACTCTCCCAACTTCCCGCAGCCCAGGCACACCTTGGCTCCGGGCAGCCAGTCTAATCTCAGCCTCCACCTTCACTTGGTCATTTTCCCTCTAAGCACGTTTCTGTGTCCAACCTCTTTCTCTCTCTCTCTCTCTCTCTCTCAATAATATCCTTTTATTGATTTCAGAGAGGAAGAGGGAAGAGAGAGAAACATCAATGAGAGAGAAGCTCTGATCAGCTGCCTCCTGCACGCTCCACACCGGGGATGAGCACAACCCCAGCATGTGCCCTGACTGGGAATCCATCCGTAACCTTCTGGTTCATAGATCCACGCTCAACCACTGAGCCACAGGCCAAACTTCTCTTCCTAAAGGGACACAGGATTTAGCGCCCATCCTGATCCACTAAGCCTTAGTGACTAAAGCTTCACTTACTTCATGGTAGCAATGCAAACGATTGCTAGGGGTGAACAGGCTGGCAGGGGAGGGTAGGGGAGGACAGGGGAGCGGTTAGGGGGTGATCAGGCTGGCAGGCAGGCAGGTCAGCTGTGAGGAGCACACCCCTACTTGCCCTCCCCTGCTGGCCTGTCCCGCCCCCAACTGGCTTTAGCGCCCATCCTGTTCCACTAAGCCTTAGTGACTAAGGCTTCATTTACCTACTTCACGGTAGCAATATGATTAAGAATTCATATACACCTAATATGCCTAAAACGGCGCCTGGCATGTGACAAGAGCTGTGTAAGTGCTGTTACAGTCAGCAGCAGCAGTATTCGGAGTAACGGGGGGAAGTGGGTACAGGTCGGCCGCAGGACCACAGCGCCGGGACTGGGGAGCCCGGCAGGCAGGGTCTGAGCACCGAGCACAGGGGCTTTGGCATGGCTCCCCGATTCTCCGGGCACAGTGTGCATTCTCCACCGGAGACGACTGAGGCTACAGAGGCGGGGAAAGAGGGATGCCAGTCACAGTCCGGCCTGAACACAGGACCCGGGGAGGGGGCGCGGTCCCCGGAGGGCAGGCTCCCTGCGGCCCTCGGCGCGGCGGGGATCGAGGAAGAGCGGGCCGCGGAGACGGGGAATGGGGGCGGCAGCCCCGCCAAGACGCACTCACCCCTTGCCGCCGGCTCCGCCAGGCTTAGGCCGCTTTTTGCGACGCTTGAGAGCGGACTCGGAACCCGCGTGGCCGCCGGCGTCGGCCCGGGACAAGTAGCGCTTCAGGTACTCGGCCTTGGAGAGTGGGGCGGCTGCCGCCATGGCGGCGCGGGGCGGGGCGACGGCTCGGCTCCGGGCTCAAAATCCGCGACGCAAAACGGACGCGCCGGAACCGGAAGCAGCCGGGACGGGCTCTCGCGAGCTTCCAGGGCTGGTGTGGCAGCCGGCATCCCTTCCAAGGCGCCGCTACGGTTCCTCCGTTGTCCACCGTCTGCCCACTCGGCGGCCAGGAGTGTCAGTGTTCCCGAGTCTGGGTTCCGTAACTTCCGAGCTCTATGGCCTTGGACAGGTTATCTACAACCTGAGGACAGGAACGGCCCCTATCAATGATTGCGAGGACTGTAAATGCTTAGAACAAGGTCCGGCACACAGTACTAGCGTAAGTGTGTTTATTAGCGTAAGTGTGTTTAGGGAGAAGGAATCTGCTCTCAAAGGCTTCCGAGTGCCATTCAAAAGAGGAAATCTGACAGGCTGGCGTGGCTCAGTGGCTGAGCATCCACCTGTGACCCAGGAGGTCATGTTGGATTCCTGGTCAGGGCTTATGCCCAGGTTGCAGCCAGTCAGTGATTCTCTCATCATTGATGTTTCTCTCTCCCTTTCCCTTCTTCTCTGAAATCAAATTTTTTTAAAAAAATTTAAGAGGAAATCAGGAATTGCAAACCAAATGTAATTACTAGAAGAATGTAGAGGCTTCTAAACTCTGTAACTTGCCCATGTTGGACAGTGATAGCCCCTGGCTATTCTTATTACAGAACCTGGCCAATGGCAGGGACCTGGATATTTCCAGCGTAGCAAAAGGGGGAAGTAAGAGACTGAATTCTAATATTCTAGTTTTGGGGGGAGAGTTTTTTTTCTTTGGCATTAAAAGCTTTACTTGAATTATCTTTTAAACCTCACAAGCCTCAGGTAGTTTTATTAGTCTTATTTTACAGGTGAGAAAACTGAAGCTTGGAGAGGTTAAGAAATTTGCCCAACTTCACACAGCCAGAACATGACCCACCCTTGGAACCAGAAACTAGCAAAGTGGGGCGAAAGATGTAACCCAGTGTTTCCAAAATAAATTTTCTTTTTATCCCCTAAGTTAAATTTCTGTCACTGTTTTAAAGTATATTAGTCAAGAAGGTATTGTTACACTTTATAAATACACACATCTTGGGATACAAGTTCAAATGTAAGTCTGGAGATCTCTGCACTGGAGCATGAGCTCCTAACCATTTGGCTATACTGAGGCTCACAGCACAGGCCCAGAAAGGAAGGCAGGCTGTGGGGAGGGAACACTGGCCAACATAGGGCTTCACTAGCTGGAGGGCCCCGACGGCACCCATATACAACCCTGCCTTGGATGCTAATCCCCTTTGGTGCGCCTCACACTGAATCCACACAGCGCTGGTGCCAGCAGACACTTGGAAACGCTCCTATTTCTACCCCAGCGCACATCAGCAGCATAGTCCTCTCAGCCCCATCAGCCCATTTCTATCTTCAGTTACATTGTTTGGCACAAGTTACCTAACCTCTGGGGCTGTTTCATCTTTAAAATGGGGGTTTTATTTATAGCTACTTTTAAAGCAGAAACAGAGACACCTTAAATTTTTTATTGGAGAAAATACATCTATTCTAAAAGCATTTCGAGTCCTGGCCCATGTGCATAAGTGGTTAGAACATAGGCCCCTGCACTGAGAGGTCACAGGTTCAATTCCTACTCAAGGGCAGATACCTGGGTTGCAGATTTAATCCCTGGCCCTGGTCGGGCACATGCAGGAGGCAGGCAATCAATGTCTCTTTAACATTGATCTCTCTTTCCCTGCATCCCTTCCACTCTAAAAAGTCAATGGAGCCGAAACCGGTTTAGCTTAGAGGACAGAGTGTTGGCCTGTGGACTGAAAGGTCACAGGTTCGATTCCGGTCAAGGGCATGTACCTTGGTTGTGGGCACAGTAGGGGGTATGCAGGAGGCAGCTGGTCGTGTTTCTCTCTCATCGAAGTTTTTAGCTCTCTATCCTCCCTTCCTCTCTGTAAAAAATCAATAAAAAATAATTTTTTTAAGTCAATGGCAAAAAATGTCCTTGTGTAAGGATTAACAAAAAATAAATAAAAGCACTTCACAATTACTAACTCACTAATCCTCACAAAAACCCTACAAAGTAGCTGCCTTTATTATTCCCATTATACAGACCAGGACACTGAGGCATCAGAGGTGCCGGCACTACAGGGCTTCCTCAATCCTGAGCAAACACACACAGCCAGCATCCGCCCTTCTCCTCACAGCTGAAAACACTTCCATTCTCCCAGAAAGAGGCATGGGCAAACATTTTTAAAAATAAAAACAAAGCCAAGTATTTGAACACACTGCCTAAATTTAGAGAGGAATCATTCCCTGCAGTGTGCTACAACTGAAATGCCACAGACATACAAAGGACACATGCTGACGTTACAATGAGTCTTACCGAACCCATTAACACTGCGCTAGCAACGTCAATTGCCCTCCATATTTATTCCATGTTCATATCATGACAGATGTACACCCCATACCTGTGTTCTCAGCTCTATTGGCTAAATATGGCTATATTTAATATGCTTGAAATATGAAGAAGTGCCCTCACAACTCTGCCTTCCCTGATATAATCACAAAACTTAATCATGGTTGTGAAACTGAGTCTACATGTTCTCAGGCTGGCAGTTTGACTGTTCTCTTCCTGTAGCCTTTGAGCAGGTCCCTTCCCATACCTGTTACCCATGCTACCTCCGGTCACCTAACAAGGCTCAAAACACGATGGAGAATTTGCAAGCATCTGCTGAGAATTATCATGTAACAGATTTCATTAACCACATGCCATATGCCACAGCAGGAGGGTAGGACTCTCACCACCATGGGGCTGTATAGGGAGATTGGATGGAGCGCATGTGCAACTGAAGGCCACCAGGCCTTGGCCATCAGAGCAGGGTTATCTGTCTGGTACCTCTTCCTCAGTCAGTCTTTCCTGGTTCAGAAGCTTGTGTTACCATTCCCAATAACTGCTTGGAATCTGAGATTGCCTAACACCAAACTCACAAGACAGTGACAGACCGGAATGCCTTTTTTCCCTCCGCCATGGGAAATGAACCTGACATCAGGGCCCATCTTTCAAGCACAACCATCCCATAAGGAAAGTCATTCAAGAGACCAAATGACCAATCAAACGGACTGAGGACACAGATCCCCAAGTCAGTTGGACATACATGAATAGGCAATCTAATAGGGTAAAGCACTTTGCTTAGAAGCCTATTCAAAGTGTTATAGCTTTATAGTTTGTGAATCATTGCTACCTTTAGTCTTGAAATTCTTAAAACACCTTACTTACTCTTGTTCACAGAAATTTGAGCTTCATGTATGGGAGGCAGTCCCACATGATAGTAGTTAAGGTGCCAAAGAATTCAATATGGAGAAATGCCTGAAAACTGAACCGCTGGAAACAAACATTTAAGAGGGAGGAGGCAGAGATGCCACATAAGGAATGCCAAAGTCCAGGGGAAAGCAGGGATGCAGCATCACAAGAGAAGGGATGAGAAGACATGGTACACTGCCCAATGTGACAGAAATAAGGAATCGAAAATGAAAACATTTTCCCAAGTGAAAAACCCCACTGTGATCTTTGAGAATAGTGCAGAAGAGCAGCGAGTAGATCGGCAGCACTACTGTCTCCTCCATCTAAGGCAATTCTTCCGAGTTACTTTTGCAGCACAAAATGCTAAGGGTTGCCATCATATTTCAATCAACAGGTCCTTCATGAACTCCCACCTTGCAGCCAGCACTGCAGGAGTCATCAGGGGTTAATGAGAAGAGAGCACTCGCTGGGGAGTCCAGGGCCCTGGCCACAGAGGGCCAAGTCACACAACCAGGAGCAGCCCTCCTTCTCTGGCTGAACCTGTTTCTCCATTTGTAATTAAGAGCAGGACTAGAGGCTCTCAAATACCCCCAACTGGTCCAACATCTTCCAATCTCAAGAGCTCTTGCATTTGCAGTTTCATCCGCCTGAAAATCTCTTCTCCCAGCTGCTCACATGGCTTACTCCCTTACCTCCTTCCCAGCTTTGCGTGGATGTGGGATTATTTCCTTCTTGTTAAGAAAAAATACCGACCCCACCTTCTGACACTACCCATATCCCTTCTTTGCTTTTAGATTCCTCCGTAACACTAATCACCATGTGACATACTGTTTTACTAATCAGTTTATTACCAATCTGCCCCTCCCCCAAAGTCAATTTTCCCCACTAGACTTCAAGTTTCTCAAAAGCAGCGCTTTGTTTTGTTCACTGGTCAGTGTGTGCCTGGCACAAAGTAGGCACTCACACACCTGCGAAGGAATGAATGAAATGGCAGCTCCAATCTCCAAATTACAGGGGCCACATTGGAGAACATTTTCTTCAGGAGGTTGAGCCTACCAGTGTATCAGTTAAGGACAGTGAATTCCAGGCCAGTGCCGTTTGACAGCCATCACTTTAATGAGAACTCCCTCCCTCGGAAGACTCCCTTCGTGTGGAAAGGAGGTAACCAAAACCTAGACTCCAGCTACAGCTGTCTCCCATCTTCTTCAACTTCAGTGTTGCAGCTCCAGAAGACAGCATGGTGTGGAGAGAGGTGAAGACTTGTGGGAAAAAGTGACAGTGGCATTCTCATGGTTTGCTTCCAGGTCTCTTCCCAAGCTGACTCCAAAATAAGGTCAAATAACCCAACTTTGCACCACACACTTTAAAAAGTGTGCCAGGGTCTTTGATTCACAGGAGCAGGTTGGGGGACCCCGCTTGTCCAATAGGAGTAAATAAGCCTGCGGTCTGAGCAGTACAGGAGGCTGGCTGGCTGGCTGGGAAACGGTCCACTGCTACCGCGGGCCCGCGCCTGTCTCATAGCCCTCCGTCCTCATGTCATTGAGCCCTAGCTCCTCATTCTGGTCAAACGTGCGCTTATAATGTTCCACCTTCATCTCCGGATCATCTTCAGGTGCATACACATTCTGGAAGGCAAAGGATAGGTCATCAGTGCCCATAGCATCCTGCTACCCTCCCTCCCCAGGCCGCTTCCAATGCCCACTTTCTCAAGAACTCTTGAGTCTTTTACTCTAAACACCACCAATTCCCCATGACTAGGCTCAACTAGCGGAAAACAACAGAACCCACATGGGCCAGGAGTAGGACTGACCAGCCCTAGCCAGAATGAGGGAACAGTCCACCTAAAATACTTTCTACCTGCACCTTCGTATGAAGAGTATAAGAACAGCTGTGTCTGACCCATAACTGCTCAATAAAGATTAATGTTATTGTCAATCAGCAGAGTATCTCCCCAGTCAGTTTAACGCCTTTCAGTTTTCCTGTATTGGACAAGGGACCATTTCTCCTCACTCTACAGTCAGATTTGCAGAATGAAAACACCATCACTGGACTTAGAGCTGGGACAAGAACCAGACTATAGAAAGGAGGAGCCTAGGAGTATCCTTTTTTCCCTCTTGACACACACTTATTCCCCCATTTCTCCCTTATGTCCTAAGTTCTTGATAAAGAGCAGTTCATTTAGAACCAAGTCTCAGTTTTTAGAAAGATGACACATGTTCAAGAAAAGTCAGAAAACATATCTCCATGAAATATAAGGGAAAGTTTACTGTACCTGCAAGTAGCTGTTTCCTGCTGGGTCATTCATAATAAAGTGGGCCTTCATTTTACCCTCCATGATCTAAAGAGGAGAGAATACAGTATGTAAATTTTACAAAGCATGGAGAAACTAAGTCTACCAGATGAGAATCAAGCCAATTTACATTGCAGTATGCCCAAGTTTCATGAACCGGTGAAATGAGCATTTCTAAAAGTAGGGTGGAGAAGATCTAAAATAAGAATTGTTTACCGGGCCGGTGTGGCTCAGTGGTTGAGTGTCAACCCATGAACCAGGAGATCAGGTTTGGATTCTCAGTTAGGACACATGCCTGGGTTGTGGGCTTGATCACAAGTAGGGGGCATGCAGGAAGCAGCCGATCAAGGATTCTCATCATTGATGTTTCTATCCCTCTCTCCCTCTCCCTTTCTCTGAAATCGATTTTTTTAAATATTAAAAATAATAATAAAATAAGAACTGTTTGACATTATTTAAGAAACAATTTTACATCCCCAATTTCATCTCCCACTCCAAACAAGCCAATGTCTATCCCAGAAGACGGAAGGATTGCCCGTCCTCTATCCCAGCAGAAGACTGAAGGGTTCTCTGAAGAGGCCACAGCACACAGTAGACTGGGGCCATGGCCCAGTTGAGGGTAGAGGGGAGGGAATCAAGGCAGGAGATTAAATGAATGTACCCTTATTGGAAACAGACATACAACACTCAGCCCTCTCCCCAGAACACCTCAGACCAGGAAATGGAGCAGCCCTGACAGGAGCCTGCACACCCTAAGAAGAAAGACCTAACTACTCAACTAGAAGGCCAAGTAAATCCCTTACAATGAGCCCGATGTTAACAAACCCCGCCACTCAGGTTTTTTAATCTCCTACTTTTAAATAGACAACTAATGATTACCAGACATCAAAGCCCCTAATATTGAAAGATAGACAATTACATGGAAAAATAAACAAACAAAAAAAGCAAAGCACAACTTAGAGGAAATGGAAACAATGCAAGGAAAATAAAGTGTAAAAAAAGAAAAACAACCCAACATTAATATTCTCAAGAAGAAAAAAATGCTACAACCTTATACTATTTTCTAAAAAGGCAGAGAAAGAGTATTCAAAAAAAAAAAAAAAAAGCACTTGGAAAATGGTTGCGAGCACATCCCCAGTGGGGTGTGTGCAGGAAGCGGCTGGTCGATGATTCTCTCTCATCGACGTTTCTGGCTCTCTATCTCTCTCCCTTCCTCTCTGTGAAAAATCAATAAAATATATTTAAAAATAAAAAAATAAGGTAGGAAACCGAGAAAGACAATGACATGGGACTGCGGAAACCAGGAGAATCCCCAACATGCGGGTTAAATGTTTAAAAGGGAGCAGGAAAGGGTAGGCAGCCTCTTGTTCACTGGAGCCCCAGGACAAGCACTGACCAGCCAGAGTCCTCTCACCTGGTCCAACTTCTGGCTGAACTCCTGCAGTTTGCCCATCTTGCCAGGATTGGAACTGTCACCCAGCGTGAAAGGGTTCTTGATCACCTGCAATAAATGTCATCCACACTGCTGTATGCTGGCTGTGTATTACAGGTGTGACTGTAAACCTGGTAGGGATGGAAGTTAAGGCAACTTCTGGTGCAGCTCTGCAGCTTGTCCAGTCAGGGGAGCATGGTCTTCATTTATCCCATAACCACCTTTCTGATTGTTCCTAAGAGCTTATGGACTAATCTGCCAAGGTGGCAACCGCCCATGTGAAACAAACTATAAACATGTTCTTACAATATGAGTGAGCTCTAGTCCTAATTTCATAAGAGATGCAAAGTATAATTTACAAAGACAAAAGGCCTCATGACTGAGAATTAAATGACATGATTCATCAAGAGGACAAATATATGGGCTAAGTCAACAATGCATATGTATGTTGGGAAGTTTTCGATGCTGCAAGGACCCTCACACCTCATTTTAGTGAAATGAAAACCACACATATATCTCAGAGTTAAGGCTCAGGAATTTCTACTCAGAATTTCCCATAAACTTATCTTCACAATCAAAAATAAATTTAAGTATCTTAAATCAGCTTTAAGGCAAAACCCCATTATCAGCTCAAAAACTAGGACATATGAGGTCACCTAGCCCCTCCCCACAGCGGCACTGCCTTAGCCGTGCACTACTCACCAGGTCCCGGATGTCCTTCAGCAGCCCCTCCAGGGTGGTGAACTTGCCCCCAAAGATAGCCATTCCCAACTCAAATTCCAGTTCTGGGATTTCCACGCTGCACGTCTCAGACTGTGAGATGAGAGGTCAGCTTAAGCTTTAAATCAGGAGCTGCTAGAGAAAGCTAACCAGAGTCCTCCTGCCAAATGAATACCACCAGTGACAGTTTGGGGACAAAGTCAACTGTTCCCGTTTTCTGACTTTTTGTTAAAGCTGAACTCACTCCTATCCTATGTACCACAGGAATGGAACCAAACTAATAAAGGGACACTGAGTCACGGCTCCAAGCTACGAGGAATCCCGTCATCAGAGGCCAGAAACAAGAGCCTCAGTCATTGCAGGTAAACAGCAGCCCACTCATCAGAAAGAGCTTATGGGTCGCTTTCTGAGCCTCCACTCACAGAAATAAGGAGGCACCACACAGTCCCAAGACATAATTTAAAAGATGTTTTCCCTGAGAGACAAGTCCCTGAGGAAGACAGTTGTTACCTTGAGAAGGTCTCTGGTCATATCTGAGGGATCTGTGATACGGAGAGTGATCCTGGTGCCCAAGGGCTCCACTGCTCCTCCAGCCTTCACCTGCAGACAATAGCAGTCAGTGACAGCAAGAAGGCCCCGAGCTGAGCCTCGTGCCCAACAGACCTCACAGGGTCTGCTTAGACCTCTAATCAAGCCCGCTATTGCGACCAAGCACAGAGCCTTCTAAATCAATAGTAGCAGCAGTCATCCAAATAAAAACCACCGAGAATGGGCCAGGAGCAAAGTGCCCAGCACCTGCCAAAATGCACCCCAAGTTGCCAAGAAACTCTAATTTACCTTTTAAAAAAAATATGATTATTGGGATTTGAAAGAGACATTCAACTGCATCCAACACGTGAATCCCCTTTATAATATTCTAGTTTAAGAATTTATCGAAACCGGTTTGGCTCATTGGTAGAGCGTCGGTCTGTGGACTGAAAGGTCCTGGGTTCGATTCCGGTCAGGGGCATGTATGTTAGTTGTAGGCACATCCCCAGTAGGGGGTGTGCAAGAGGCAGCTGGTCGATATTTCTCTCTCATCGACGTTTCTAGCTCTCTATCTCTCTCCCTTTCTCTCTGTAAAAAAAAATCAATAAAATATATTAAAAAAAAAAAAAAAAAAAAGAATTTAACAGCTCATGCTTGAATTAACTCAGGGAACGGGAATAAAAGGCAACCCATTTTATTTTTACAAACTTAGAAAATATTGAGCCAAAATCTGCCTTCTTATTCTTTAAAACCAAACTTGAAAATGTCTTAAATGCGTGTGCTTATGGAAGGCAACTGACCATTGTTTCTCTCACATCAATGTTTCGCTCTCTCTCCCTTACTCATCCTTCCTCTAAAATCAATGGAAACACGTCCTTGGATGAGGAGAGAGAGGGATGGAGGTCTTCAACAAGTTAGGATTAGGTAAATAGAGATAAACAAGTTATGGTTATCTCTTAACTTTTCTCCTCTAAGCCAATGCCCAGTTCCTTCAATGGCCCCTCACCCTACACTAAGCCTAAGAGAAAGACCCACCCTCACTCCCATTATCCCAAAGCAGATTTAAGAGTGAAAGTTAGACAGGTCACCCTCAAGTTAGTCTTCCCAACCAATGGAGCTCTCACCTCATTGGTCCGATGACCGCAGTACTCGCAGTTGGTAGCCATGATGATAACCTCCTTAAAGTGGGGGATTTCTGGAGCTGGAGTTAAAGGAACCTGCTTCCACGAGCAAGACCACTCACTGAGAACAAATCCAAACCCAAACCCAATGGCTGGTCCCAGGATTACAGGAAATAGATCCCAAGAAGCAGCCCTAGTCCTCCAAAGAGGGCAAGGTCAAAACCCACGGTGACTCCTGTTCACAAATGTTGGCCTAGGCCACACACAGGAGACAAGACTACAGCCCAGCCCTGACCGGTTTGGCTCGGTAGATAGAGCGTCGGCCTGGGGATTGAAGGGTCCCAGGTTTGATTCTGGTCGAGGGCATTAAAAAAAAAAAAAAAAAAAAAAAAAAAAAGACTACAGCCCAATTCTCTCTGTGACCCAGAAGCCAAGGTGGGGCCTCATCACTCAGAACGTAACATGTTCTCCTCGAAGGCAGTGGTCTCCAGCCTGAAGATAACCCTCACATCGGAGTGAGAGGAGCAGCAGCCCAACGGCCTGACGAAAGATACGAACTAGCTTCATGTTGGTCTGAGCCGGAGCATTGCATTCCGGGCAGTTGGTATTGAACTGCAGCACCTGGAACACAACATGGGGATGCGGGGTGAGCCCCCTGGCAGGTGAGCATGTCAGGCTGACGCGTTCAGTTGGCATGTGGCAGTCGCCCGTGCTGGTGGAGAGGAAGAGCCACTGAACAGCATCAGACTCTGCCTACAACTCCACTCCTTCCTTCACAGCAGCCAGTGGGACTCACTTCGTTTCTGAGATCTTCCTCTTGCGGCTTCTCTTCTGGTGCCTCTGCCTAAAGAAGCAGAGATGCAAATCACATGTTGCACGTGTATCTCAGCCTCCCTGCCCTGGGGCGCAGGAAAATGCTGTGGCTTGCTTTTGTCAGCTTCCACCTCATGAGTTTAACCGAGAAGCTAGAAAGCAAAGCCCCAATCAAGGAGGTAGAGAGCTTAAGAAAAGACCAAAGCCATTGCCGACCTTTACTGTAAAGTGTACCCTAAGCCCTTGACATGAGCTTGATGGGCAGCACGGACATGCTATGTGACAGGTACACAGGGCAGCAGCAGGGAATGAAGGGAACCATCCCTCTTCTGGCTTCTTCGGCTCACTTACCTGGAGCCCCAGCATCTCCTCCTGCTGCGGAGTCCGGTTATAATGTGTGATCACCAGGGCATCATCTTTCTGGGGAGCATGTGGGTTTTCAACGAAGCTGTTCCCTGAGGGGTCATCAATGATCTAACAGACAGGTAAATAGTAATTATAAGCCAGGTACCATCCTTCACCTACCATCAGACCACTTGCCACCACAGTGGAAAAATCCCAGTCTTAATGGTTTCTCCTCTCTTAAATCTAGGCACCTAGACACCTTCAATACTCACCAGAGTGAAAGGAGAGGCCACCTGCCTTAGCTCTTTCAGTCTGACAATGAACTCATCCAGTCTGTCAGCTACGGCTTCTTCATTTGCCTGACAGAAACCGAGAGTAAAAGTATCAGCCCTGGTGACAGACCTTATGCCCTCACTTCCTGTAGTGCCCGAGTCACTTCCATCAGGAAATCATCTCCTTAGCGTGAGTGGGAACAGAGAGACTCAGACTTCACAATAAGAGGTAGCACATAATTTTAAGTTTATGGGTGATGCCAGATGAGCCTCATTTTCTCACTCATTCAACCATTTAAACCAGGCGTTCCTGCCAGGTTAAATATCTGAGTCCCCTCATGGGGCTCCCCAGCTAGTTAGGAAGACAGATGACTAATATGTAATTATACCACTTGTGTCATAATAGACAGTGGAATACTCAGAAAGCATAGCTAAGCCCAAGGGAGGACAAGCTCTTCAGAGGTAATGATACATAGCCTGTTGCCAGCGACAAGGCCTGAATACACATACACTGGCGCAGGGGAAGCGGGAAGAACAGAAGTGGAAAGAACAGTAAATGTTCTGTATGCAACATCCTGGCAGCTATAGCATCGCCATATGCTTCCCCTAAAAGTCCTCCAATGTTCCGTCAGACCGTTCACCTACGTGGAAAGCTGAACACTCTCCTCAGATGCATACACCAGGAAGTAATTATTCCTTAAGCTGCAGCAATCAGAATACCCCAGCTCACCCTTCGCGTGGGCTGATCCTGCTCCAGGCCAGCGATAGCTCGGCTGATCAATCCTTCCACAGTGGTCAAAGCTGGTGAAAAAGAACAAAGGACAGGGAAGTCAGGGCTCTGCTCTCAAGTGCCTGTATGACCCCGGGCAACTCATGTGAGACCTCTTTGGGCCTTGAATTCATCTGTAAAATGAGGCTGGGAACAAAATTCCATTCAGCTCTTAACAAGAGTGATGACAAAACTCTATAAGCAAACACAATCTCAAACTGTTTTATCTAAGTGTTCTGCTTATGTTAAGTCAATGAAGATCCCAATGATTGCCAAACCCATACACGGCCACTAGATCTGGCCAGGGCTTTTACAAGGAAGTAAGATTCCAGCTAAGCATAAGCAGCTCAAATACCTCTGATCTCGAACTTACCTCCCTTCTGGCTGAAGGCAGGAATTTCAAAATCTAACTCTGGAATCCTTGTGGTGGCGGAGTCTGTCTTCACCACTTCTCGGTTCATGTCCTGGTCAGAAAGAAGCAGGTGCAGGCCAGAGGGGTCAGAGCTCAACACTGCCCCCCTCAGGAAGGCCAGGCTGCCCTCATCACTTGCTCGCTCCTCAGGGGTCCAGCTAGCCCGCTGCCCACGTGAGGAGAGTTCCCTGCCTAACCCCTGCTCACGTGGTGCCTTCTCCCATGTTCATAAGTCCCGCCTGGTCAGCTGACAGCGCCAGCCCCCCTTTGTAAGCAGGAAGTGAGACTTGTACACGCAGGGTAGAGATTTACTCCGGGCCCGCGGCCTGGCCGGGGCGCGGGCTCCCCGCCCGCCCTGCGCGGGGCCCTGCGGGGCGGCTCCGGGCTGCTCTCACCTCCGCCGCCCGCACCGTCAGGGTGTAGCGCACGCCCTGGTCCTGGATCCGGCCCGCCGACTGGACCTCCGTGTTGCTCCAGCCGCAGTGCTCGCAGGAGAAGGAGCTGACGATCACCTCCCTGAAGAAGGGGATGGTGGTGAGCAGCAGGCGCGTCACGCCCTGGGGAGGCAGAAAGCCAAGGAAAGGCCCCGTGAACCCCAGCTCCCCGTCCGGTGACCCCGAGGGGCCTCACCCCGGGTCCCCAAGGCGGCCGAGCCCCGGCGCCAACCCCGTCCCCCGCGGCCCGCCCCCCGCGGCTCACGTCGCGGTAGCAGTTCATGCACAGCGACTCGATCTCCGTGGGCTGCTGGCCCTCGTCCTCGGCGCTGAAGGGCCGGAACACGCGCGCCGGGGCCGGGGCGGGCGAGGGCACGGCCGCAGCCCCCGGGGGCCCCGGCTCCATCGTCCCGCTGGCCGACATCGCCACCACGCTCAGCGCCGCCCGCCGCTTCCGGCTCCTCGCGCCCGTGGCCCCGCCCCTTCCGGCGGCACTTTCGCGGCAGCCCCGCCCTTTCTGAGAGAGGTGACACTCGGGGCCCCACCCTACCCCCCTTTTCTTTTTTCTTTCTTTCTTTTTTTTTTTTAGATTTTTAAGTGCATTATTTTTTAGTCTCTATCCAAATCCAGTAATTATGTTTTAATCAACTAATTATTAACACTTTAGCTACATTTGTCACTACACACACTATTATTATTATTTTAAGAGTCAGTTGCTCCCAGCTGGTTTGGCTCAATGCATAGAGCGTAGGCTGAAGGGTCCCAGGTTTGATTCATGTCAAGGGCACATGCTCAGGTGGTGGGTTCCATCCCAGTGTGGGACCTGCAGGAGGCAGCCAATCCATGATTCTCTCTCATCATTGACGTTTCTCTCTCTCTCCCCCTCTAAAATAAAAAAATAAAAAAAAGCCATATATTTTAAAAAGAGTAAATTGCAGTCAATGGTATCTATACCTTTGAATACTTCAGCATATGTCCCCTACACACATGCTGGGAGAAAAAGAATCTTTTCTTACATTCCAAACCACGATTACCAAATCAGGATATTTAACATTGATACAGTACTATTATCTAATACTGGAGAGAAGCCCATTGCACGAATTTGTGCACAGATCCAGTCTCTCAGCCTGGCTGGAGATCAAGGCCAATCAGGACAGGCTGGCCAGGGGGAGAGACCACAGAGGTTAGCTATGAGAGCGCACTGACCACCAGGGGTAGCTCCTGCATCGAGCACCTGCCCACTGGTGGTCAGTATACATCATAGCAACTGGTTGACCTGTCATTCGGTTAATTGGTCCTAACAGTCACTTAGACTTTTAAATAGATAGATAGAATCCGTATTCAAATTCCAAGTCTTGTCCCATAACAACTCTTTCTCTAATCCAAGATCTGATTTAGGACCAGGTATTGCCCCTAGTTCTCAGGTCTCTGGTTTCCTTCAACCTAGAAGTCCCTCAGTTGGTCTTTGTGTCCTATGACATTGGCATTTTTTAAGAGTACGGGTAATTTGGGTTTATCTGATGTATTTTATTTATTTATTTTTTTAATAATTATTTATTGTTGAAAAGTATTACATATGTCACCCTTTTTCCCCCTACTAACCCTCTCCAGCCAACCCCACCCTCCACCCCAGGCCTTCACAAGAAGGGAGAGGGGAAGAGAATCATCAATGTGAGGATGTGAAAGTGAATATTGATGGGCTGCCTCTTGCACACTCACCAGGGATCCAGTCAGGAAAGGCAGCCTTTCAGTGCACCCACCTATGCCCAAGCAGCTGAGCCACCCTGGCCAGGTGATCCTGGGCCCTTGCAGAGCAGTATACGGTTTCCCTGTTGCCAGGATTATATGATCCAAACTTCCATAGCCAGATTCAGGCTTTGGCTCTACCTCAATTCAGGTGTCACTTCCCCCGGGACGTCTCCCAGAGCCAGGGCAGTGCTTTGCTCCTCCGTGGTGTCTCCATCCACAGGGTTCTAACCATTGGCCCTAGAAGTTTGACCACAAGAGCCAGGCCTCTTGCCAACATCCTGGGCTTCCTTCCATCCACTGTTGGGCAGGGTGCTGCTGCGGTTCTAGGCCCTCAGTCCCCCTCTCCCTTTCTGTTTTTTTTCTCACTCCCTATTTCTATCCTCATAAACACCTGCTCAAATTCCAGCTGCAAAGGCACAACCCTCAGTTTTACTTCCACCCCTTCATCCCTACCACATCTGCCCCCTCGGACTTCCCCTTCTAGTTTCCTAACAACAAGAAGACCTTTTATTTGGAGGGAGGGGGGTAAACTTTCCAGCACCTCCTCTCCCTGAGTACTGATCTCAGCTCTGTGGCTAAATCCAGATGTCTGGGTAGAGATCTGCTCTGCGGGCCTGATGCAGCCAGCTTTGTGGGGCCTGTGCTAGGGGGAAGTGAGGAAGTGCAGGGCAGGCTGAGCTGGACAGAAGGGGTGCTGGAAGGGATGTGCTTACCCTGCCCACTACCCTCCCACTTCACCTACCCCCAGCTTCAGGGTTCTCAGAGGACCTATTGGAGATTCATTGCCTCTAAGTGAATCTGTATGTGAGGGCTGGGGGTTTAAGAGTTTGGGGTTCCCAAAAGAGGGCCAGTGTCATAAAAGGGCCATTCTGAATCTGGAACAGCAGGAGCAAACGGGAGAGGCCATCTCAAGAGCCTGCAGGGGAGGCACACTGTCCTGTGCGGAGCAGGCCCCGAACCCGGCATGTGCAGAGGAAGTTGCTCACCCACGCCCACCCCCAGGCAAACACAGCTCTCCCCTAAAGCAGCACAGCCAGGCCAGGCCCTTCTGGCAGACTCGCACTGAAAGGGGGTCCCTGAGAAAGTACAGCAGGGGCCTGGAGAGGCTGATGTGATTTGGGGATAGCGGTGAGGGCACTGCTTTCAGACATGGCCCAAATGAGACACACCAGGCAGACCAGCTTCCATTATAAGCATCTATTTCAATGGAGTCAGATGTCTGGACTTCAGTCTGAGCGTCAGAGAAGGGGAGGGCACCTAGTATTCTCCCCAGAGGACTTAGGAAGCCCCCACAGCTTGGAGGCTTGGTTGGCTGTTTTTTGTTGTTGTTGTTGTTGTTTATTTGTTTGTTTGTTTGTTTGTTTTAATATATTTTATTGATTTTTTACAGAGAGAAAGAGAGAAGGATAGAGATTTAGAAACATCGATGAGAGAGATTCATCGATCAGTTGCCTCTTGCACACCCCCTACTGGGGGATGCGCCCACAACCAACATACATGCCCTTGACCGGAATCAAACCGGGGACCCTTCAGTCCGTAGGCGGAAACTCTATCCACTGAGCCAGACCGGTTTCTGCTTGATCGGCTGTTTAAATGCAGAGCTATGTCAGAAAATATGGGCCCTGCTCCCTCCCATTACAACTCCCACCAGTTGTTCCCAGCAGCAGCAGAGCGTGCAGGGATCCACACACAGTCACACAGCCATCGACCAAGAGACGCAGGAGGTCCTCATCACATTCCCCGCCTTTCTCCCCTGCTCGCCCCCAACAGAAGCTGCCACAGCAGCCCCGGGAAAGGAGCTGCTCTGGGGACCAGGGGCAGTCACGGCCACCAGGGGGCCAGCGCGGTCCCAGCCAGGCCCGGCCTGAAGAGACTGGGCTTCCAGCCCATGGCCCCGGGCTTGCACTTCATCCCCGGCACAGAGCGCCTTTCTCCCTTCTCACTCCCGCCAGCACCGAATGGAGCACCTCAGGAGGATTCCCAAATGAGCACGGGAAGCCAGGTTCACAAGTCCTGGTGAGTGTAATGCATCCGGGTTGGGGACTCGCAGGGGGCTGGGTAGGCAAGGGACAGCTGCCCCTTCGGTGGCCTCACCCGTCCTGCAGGGCCCACCAAGGACTGGCCCGCGCTTGGGGCTCCCGAACAAGAAGCTGGGGCGTGGGCCCGGGCAAACAGGCCCTCAGGGCTCCCCTCCGTGGCCCGGATCATGGTCGCGAAGGCTGTAGTTTATGTCCTCCCACAGGTCGTCCAGCCGGGCCTGCAGCCTGCTCCGGGCCTTGCCATCGTCCTCGGGGAGGAACTCAGGGGCGAAGGCGCTGTGGCTGGGCGGGGGCGGCGCCAGCTGCTGCTGGACCTCCTGCGTCTCTTGGTCGATGGCGCGGGTGAAGGCGGCGATCTGCAGCAGGGTGTCCTGGCGGAAAGCCTGCAGGCGCTGGCGCACCTCCTGGGACAGCGCCCGGGGGTCTGGGTGAGCCTCGTCCTCCGCGCCGCCGAAGGCGCTAAGCTCCTTGTGCAGGTGGTCCAGGTTCTGCTGGATGCCCGCGTGCAGGGCCTCGGCCTTGAGCGTGAGCTTGCGGGAGAGCCGCTGCACGCAGCGGCTGAGGCGCGCGGGGCTGGCCAGGGCGTGCGGGGCCACGCTGCGGTGCAGCTCCCGCACGTGCTGCCCGATGCCGCGCAGCAGGCGCTGGGCGGGCGGGTGGAGCAGCTGCTTGGCGCGGCCGGTGTGGTGCGCCAGGCCGCCCCGCAGCTCCTGCAGCCGGTCCCGCGCCTCGGCCACGCTGCCCAGCAGTTGGGCCTTGGTGTCCTTGCCGACCGCGCGCAGCTGCTCCTGCAGCTCCTCCACGCGCAGCGCCACCTGTTCCACCAGGGCCGCGGTGTAGGGCTCCAGGCGCTGCCGCAGCCCCTGCAGGTTCCAGCTCAGGCGCGCGTGCGCCTCCGCCATGCGGGGCTCCAGGCGTGCGCTCACCTCCTGCAGCTCCGCCTGCAGCTGCCGCCGCACGCCCTCGGGGTCGGGAGGGAGTCCGGGAGGGAGCCCGAGAGGGCCGCCCTGCCCGCTCAGAGGGCCCAGCTTCTCCAGGAGCGTGTTCATGTTGTGCAGGTCCTGCTCAAGGCTGGCTTTCAGGTTCCTGGGGAAGAGGGCAGGCGTCAGCGGCAGGCTGCTGGCCCAGCCTCGGCTTAGCCCAGAGGCATGGCGCCCTGATCGATGGGGAAACCAAGGGCACTGTCCTAGCCTCGAACCCGCCCCTCCTCACAAGGCACTGCCCTGGTCCAGCCAGACCGGCCCCGCCCGAGGGCACAGAGGCTCCTGGACTCAGGCCTCTTACTCTGGGGGCTCTCTCCCCTCCAGTTCCCACGCCTCAGGGGACGAGGGGGCGCCAGCTAGAGCCAGGGTGGAGCAGGGTGGGGGCCAGGGCGAGCAGCCAGGAAGGCCGGGATGGGGCGAAGCTGGTGGCTTGCTTCCTCTGCTCCCGAGCAGGAGCCAACAGGGAGCCAACCAAGGAATCAAGGGCATCCATCACCCCATGGCCTGGCTCCTCCCGCCCCCCGCGCCCCTTGCCCGGCACTCACGCGGCCTCCAGGGCCAGTTTCAGCTGCTGGGCCTGCTCCGCCCAGCCCTTGTCCGCGCTGCTCTGCCCAGCGTCCTCCCCGGGGCCTTTCCGCGCGTGGGCGGCGGGAAACGCTGTGGGAAGGCAGGGTGAGCGGGGCCGCCAGATCACACCCCCCTCCTCCCCCGCCGGCCGGGAGACCCACCTGAGAGGAGCGCCAGCGCCCAGGCCAGGGCTGCAGCCACGCGGGCCATCGTCTGTCCTAAGGAGGAAGGCGGGGAGGCGGTTACGGTGAGGAAGCAGAGACAGGGACATCTCCCAGGGGCGCTGCCCCGTGCCCAGTCCCAGGGCCAGCCTGCCCCGAGTCTGGGGACGCCTCCCTGGGGCGAAGGGAGCTCAGAGCTGGGGGGGGTGGGGGGAGCGCGTGGGCACCGAGGCAGGTGAGCGTGGCTGGGAAGAGAAGGGTGTCTTTCCCACGAGAGGAAAGAGCTCAAGGAGTGTGAGCTCACACTGCTTTGTAAAGGTCTTCCCTCCCCGCCAGGCCCCAGGAGCCTCCCTAGGCAGGGCTGCCGCACCTCACCCCCATCTTCCTGCCCCCCGCGGATGGCTGGGTGCAGAGGCCTGCCCAGGGCAAGAAGCAACTCTGCCACGTGGTGGTGCTCCAATGGTGCTCCCTCCCCTCCAGCTCTGCTGAGACCCTGCAGTCCTCCAGGGGACTCTGTCCCCTGTTGTGTGTCTCCCCCCCCCCCCCCAAGCCCTCTGCCCCAGGGGCTCACCTGCTGAGTTCTGGGCATAGAGAGCAGACAATCGGCTTTATACTCCAGGGTCTGGACCTCTGGCAGCAATTCCGAGTAAATATCATGTGGCAATTCAAAGAAAAATGACCTCAGCGGCCTCCCAGTGCTCACCTGCCCTTTCCCGGCGCCCACAGGGTTAATGAGTGCCCCCATCTCAGGGCCTGGCCCAGTGACCTAAAGCTTCTTGGAACGTTTACAAGAATGGCCCACTCCTCTCCCAGCTCACCCCAAACTCCATGTCCTTCAACTCCCCACTCACAGCTGGCTGGCCAGGCCATAGATACAAACAAGCTTGTTTGTCTCTGCAGCACACTCTTGCTCAACTGCCCAGAGGCACTGTGCCCAGCCGGACAGGGGCAGTGGCCAGCTGCCAGCCTGACCCTAGCAGCCTTGGCAGTTTCCCCACACGCTCCTCGGCAGATAGGAGAAGTCAGCATTCACAGGGCAAAGACCCTCCCACCTCCCCTTCATGAAATAATCCTGGAACAAGCAGGACGTCAGGGGGGAGAAGAGGAGGTGGTGAGAGGCAGAACCTGGACCAGGGACTCTGGGCCCAAAGAATTGGAGCAAGACTAGGCTTCTCCTTCAGGGGAAAGGCTGGCCTTCACCCACAGGGCCTCCGAGGCAGGGAGCCGGAAAGCCCAGGCCTTCCTCTGATGGCCTGTCCACTCCATGTACTTTTTTTAAAAATATATTTTATTGATTTTTTTATAGAAAGGAAGGGAGAGGGATAGAGAGCTAGAAACATCGATGAGAAACATTGACCAGCTTGCCTCCTGCACACCCACCACTGGGGTGTGCCCGCAATCAATGTACATGCCCTTGACCGGAATCGAACCTGGGACCTTTCAGTCCACAGGCCAATGCTCGAGCCACTGAGCCAAACTGGTTTCGGCCCACTCCATGTATTTAAACCTACATTTATAAAGTCCCGAGTTTTACTCCTAAATGTGTCTTGAATGGATCTCCTCTCCCTATTTTCACCACCAATTGCATCACACTCTCCTTGTCTCTCACCTTAATCACACTCAGTCTCCAGCGGCTCTGTCTGCCACCGTCCTGCCTGTTCGGTTCATCCTCTGCGGTGGCTCATCCCAGCCCACTTGCCTCTCATCTCCTGCCACACAAAGCCCCTGGCGTTCCCTGAGCACACCACCTCTCAGAACTCCGAGCCTTTGGCCCTGCTGTTCCTCTGTGAAATAGTATATTCCTCAGTGAACTTACATTCTTTTTCTCCCCCAGATTTGGTTTGTGTCACATAGTATTAGGCTCAGGTACAATGAAAAGGGGCTGGGGTGAGTGGGAGAGAAGAGCCTAAACAAAATGGAACGTTACTCCTGATGGAAACATAAGCCATCCTGTGTTGTGCTATTGTCTTTAACAAGAGGCTCATGTCTGAGGTTCAGCTGCCGCCGCTCCAGCCATCAAGTCCACCTCCCAGCCAGCAGGAAGGAGGAAATGAAGGGCATGTTCATTTCCTTTAAAGGCACATCCCAGAAATTTTTCTTATCACTTTACTGACATCCCATTGGCCAGAATGTAGTCATATGGCTACACGTAGCTGGAAAGGAGACTGAAAAATGTGGTCTTGATGCTGGATGACTATATTACCAGCTTGAAAAGAGCTGTCTTTCTCAGGAGAAGAAAAGAATGAATGTGTGTGTAGGAGGGGGGGGATAGAGGTAGGGGGGAGAGAAAGGAGACTGTGCTGCACAGCTCCAATATCACTCTGAATGCCCTCCATTGCTTTCACCCTTCTTTGCTTGAGACACAGACTAAATCCATATTAATCCAAATTAATCTTCTTTACAATTAGGTTGGGGGCACATGGCTATGTTAATTATGTGAGCTTCTCATTTGTAGCCACTCATAGGTGAGCTTTTGAGGATCACTCCAAGTACAAACTGAGATATCACTCCTCCAGCACTTCCAACAGTTTTGTAAACCTTTAATTTTCTACATTAAAGCCTTCCGGTCTGGCTGGTGTGGCTCAGTGATTCAGCATTGACCTCTGAACCAGGAGGTCATGGAACCAGGAGTATTGACCTATCAGCCAAGAGGCCCAGCTTGCAGACTTGATCCCTCTGACTATTCTGTTACTACCAATTTGTACTTCTTAATCCCTTCACCTTTTCACTCTTACCCCCAAATTCCCCTTCCATCAAAATATTCTCTGTATCTGAGTCTGTTTCTGTTCTGCTTGTTCATTTATTTTGTGTGTGTTTTTAGACTCAATAGTTGATAGATATATATTTATTGCCATTTTATTATTCATATTTTGATAAGCTGCCTTCTCCTCTTCATTCTTCAAGAAGACCCTTCAACATTTCATGTGGTACTGGTTTGATGATAATGAACTTCTTTAGCTTTTGCTTCTCTGGAAAGTTCTTTATATGCTTTTAGATTCTAAATAATAACTTCGCTGAGTAGAGCAATCTTGGTTGTAGGTCCTTGCTATTCATCACTTTGAATATTTCTTGCTACTCCCTTCTGGCCTGCAAAGTTTCTGTTGAGAAATCAGCTGACAGTCATATGGGCACTCCCTTGTAGGTAACTAACTGCTTTTCTCTTGCTGCTTTTAATATTCTCTCTTTGTCTTTAACTTTTGGGATTTTAATTATAAAGAGTTTTGGTGTGGGCCTCTTTGGTGGTGAAGATAGGGAGAGGAGATCCATTCAATACACATTTAGGAGTAAAACTCAGGACTTTATAAATGTGGGTTTAAATATATGGAGTGGGCCGAAACCGGTTTGGCTCAGTGGATAGAGCATTGGCCTGTGGACTGAAAGGTCCCAGGTTCGATTCTGGTATATTTCTGATATTTTTTTAATTGATTTTAGAGAGGAAGGGGAGGGAGAGATAGAAACATCAATGATGAGAGAGAATCATTGATTGGCTATCTCCTGCACACCCTATACCTTTATATATCCTATCTAATAAAAGAGAAACATGCAAATTGACCATACCTCCACCACACCCACAAGCCATGTCCACCAGCCAATCAGGAGCAAGTATGCAAATTAACCCAACAAGGTGGCAGTTAATTTGCAAATCCACGTGCAGAGTGAAGACTGAAGACAGTGTAGAAGAAAGCCAAGCAGGGCTGTGGAGAAGGGAGGGAAGCAGGCAGGGCAGGAAGCCATATTCTTCCAGGAATCTTCCTGCAAGGGGCCTTTTTTTTTTTAGATTTTCAATTTTTTGCTCTCTCTCTTCTCCTTCTGTCACCCCCATGATGTAAATATTGGTACACTAATTTGTGCCAGAGGCTCCTTACATTATCCTCAGTTTTTTGGATTCTTTGAATCCGCTGTTCTGATTGGTGTTTTTTGCTTTCTTATATTCCAAATCGCTGATTTTCTTGGCTTTATCTACTCTACTATTTAGTTCCTGTAAATTATTCTTTACTTCAGTTAGTGTATCCTTCATTTCTAACTGGTTCTTCTTTATGCTTTCTACATCCTTTTTTATGCTATTGAGGTTCTCACTAAGTTTATTGAGCATCCTTAATAAAAAATAACCAGTATAATGCTCTCCAATTCTATTCATGCTGCTGCAAAAGGTAAGAATTCCTTCTTTTTTTTTTTTTTACAGCAGCATAGTATACCATGTGTAGATGTACCACAGTTTTCAATCCACTAATTTGCTGATGAGCATTTTGGCTGTTTCCAAATCTTAGCTATTGTAAATTGTGCTGGTATGAACGTAGGGGTGCATATATCCTTTCTGATGGATGTTTCTGTTTTCTTGGGATATATCCTTAGAAGTGGGATCACTGGGTCAAATGGTAGTTCCATTTTTAATTTTTTGAGCAAATGCCATACTGTTTTCCACAGTGGCTGCACCAGTCTGCATTCCCACCAACAGTCAAGGAGGGTTCCTTTTTCTCCACATCCTCTCCAGCACTTGTTGTTTGTTGATTTGTTGTTGATAGCCATTCTGACAGGTGTGAGGTGGTACCTTATAGTTGTTTTGATTTGCTTCTCTCAGATGATTAGTGACTTTGAGTATGTTTTCACATGTCTCTTGGCTTTCTGAATGTCCTCTTTCAAAAAGTGTCTATTTAGATCCTTTGCCCATTTTTTGATTGAGTTGTTTATCTTCATTTTGTTAAGTTGTATGAGTTCCCTGTAAATGTTGGAGAGTAAAGCCTTATCGGAGATAACATTGGCAAATAAGTTCTACCATGTCGTGGACTTTCTTATTGTTTTGTTGATGGTTTCTTTTGCTGTACAGCTTTTTATTTAGATGTGGTTCCATTTGCTTATTTTCTCCTTAGTTTTTATTGCCCCAGGAGCTGTATCATTAAATATATTGCTATGATAAATGTCTGCTATTTTGCTGCCTATGGCTTCTTCTAAGATTTTTATGCTTTCCCATCATATGTTTAAGTCCTTTATCCATTTTGAGTTTATTTTTGTGTGTGGTGTAAGTTGGGGTAGTTTCATTTTTTTGCAAGT